ATCGAGTCGAATCGTCAAGTACCTCAGGCGAATCGACTCAAGTTTGTTGTCACGATTTAAGAACTAGGAAGGTTCATGTATGATTATTTCATAGGTGTTAGTGTCACGTGGTGTTTATCTTCTCCACGTGAATCGAGTCGAATCGTCAAGTTTGTTGTCACGTTTTAAGAGCGAGGAAGGTTCATGTATCATTATTGTTNCATAGGTGTTAGTGTCACGTAACGTTTATCTTCTCCGCGCGAATCGAGTCGAATCGTCAAGTTTGTTGTCACGTTTTAAGAGCGAGGAAGGTTCATGTATCATTATTGTTCTCGGGTCTTAGTGTCACGTGGTGCGTATGTACTCCACGCAAATCGAGTCGAATCGTCAAGTACTTCAGACGAATCCACTCAAGTCTGTTGTCACGTTTTAAGAACGAGGAAGGTTCATGTATCGTTATTGTTCAGGGGTCTTGACTTCCGGTGGTGCGAATCGACTCGAATCGTCAAGTATCTCAGACGAATCGACTCAGTTTGGGTGTATTGGACATGGATGGTGATATTTTGATTATGACGAAATACTTTTCCAATCAAAACACGGCAATGACGTTACATTTCACCTATTCATTGACCTAGAGTGATTTTCAGATTTTAGCTACTTGTTGTGCATGTATTATATCCCTCAAAGATGTTGGAGAAATATTGGTCGAGTTCTTTCTTTGTAAGTTTATGAAGTAGATCTGTAGGATTAGTATTTCCCGATACGAGGAGAAGAAACTAGGCCAAAAAATGCTCTTTTGAGTCTGTGATGATAAATGTGGCGAAACCGTANTTCTCCGCGCGAATCGAGTCGAATCGTCAAGTTTGTTGTCACGTTTTAAGAGCGAGGAAGGTTCATGTATCATTATTGTTCTCGGGTCTTAGTGTCACGTGGTGCGTATGTACTCCACGCGAATCGAGTCGAATCGTCAAGTACTTCAGACGAATCGACTCAAGTCTGTTGTCACGTTTTAGGAACGAGGAAGGTTCATGTATCGTTCTTGTTCAGGGGTCTTGACTTCCGGTGGTGCATATCGACTCGAATCGTCAAATATCTCAGACGAATCGACTCAGTTTGGGTGTATTGGACATGATTGGTGATATTTTGATTATGACGAAATGCTTTTCCAATCAAAACAGGGCAAAGACGTTACATTTCACCTATTCCTTCACCTAGAGTGATTTTCAGATTTTAGCTACTTGTTGTGCATGTATTATTTCCCTCAAGGAT